AAAAACCTGAAATCACAAACAAAAATTGCTCAAAAATTACCGACAACTTATTTCAATCCATACAAAGAACGAAAGTAGAGAAGAGAGTGAAAAAGATTAAAGGTTAAAAATAATTGAATGCGGTGAAAAGATAATTTTTCTGCATAGTTCCTCGCAGGTTTTTATCGCTACTGGTACTTTTTTTCCGGCAGATGTTCCTAGGTAAAAGAATTGAGACTCGCCAACACGACTGTCAGAAAATATGCTTTCTAGATGCCTGTTTCCCAAGTCAGCAATTTACCGGTCAAAAATTTTCACAGGCACATACGTAAGAACCACGCAAGACTGGGAGCTTCGTATGAAGTCATTAAGTTCTACTTAGACGGAGAATATCACTCTGGAGTTTCAATCCTTCTAACTTCACCGGTTTACGAGTTAGCAACTTACCCGCCAAAAATTTTTACGAGGTCGTGCATGGGAACTACGTGGGCAAGAAAGCCCGTTTTGGGGACAGGGGAGCCCCTACATAGGGGTACATGTGTGTGGATTAAGTTCCCAAAATTTCAGCCTTGCAGCTTTTGTAAGTCTCGAGATGAAAACTCGGCACGGACGTACACACAGACAACCTTTAGACAATGTGCATTTTTGCACTGCATAAATGCAAAAAACACACACACGTAAAAACGAGATACACATTCTGGCACGAATTACCTCTTCTTTGGGCGCACTCGGTTTGCCGTACTGGATATTGTAGAATATTGTGTCATGAAAAAGGACTGAATCCTGAAAGCAAAGTTCGTGCCACAACTCAAAGATTTTACAGAAATGAAAACACATCAGTATGGGTGGGTGTATATAAGGACCTAGGAATAAAAATTAACTAATAAAAAACAAAGAGGAAAACAGAGGAAGACGGGGAAAATTTGCAAAAATGCTATCGAAGGAGGGTGAAAACTTCTTGGAACAAAACAAGTAATAAAAAAATAAGAATTTTAAACCTGCGGCACAACTGCAATTGACTTTCGCAAACTTTCCAATTGTAC